TATATATATATATATATATATATATATATATATATATATATATATATATATATATATATATATACAACTATGTGAGTGAATTGGGGTGTACGAAAAATATAAAAAGCAAGGGGAGCCACCGAACTGAGCTGCAGTATAATAGGAGATAAAAAAGAAATAAATTCGTTACACTGAGGTATACGAGAAGATGAAAGTAAAGTGAATTCGTTCCGTTTCTGTATTTCTCTCTAGCGTTGCTGTTTCGGTGGGCGCGGCATTGAAACAGGAAACTCTTAATTTTTGCTTAAAATATGAATTTCGTGGTTTTTTTTTTGGCTTAATATAAATATAATTTATTTACGAGTTTCACGGCGTATATTATTTTTAATATTCGTCAGGTTTCCACCGGTTTCCGGCTTGCTTTCCTTTTCGTTTCTGTATACCTCTGGGGTGTATGCGCAGCTCTACTTGAACTTTCTGTTCAGTGGATGCTTGTTCATATCACTAAAAAAAAAACACAAATGTTTTAATTTTTGTTTATATTTTCTGCAGAAGATATAATAAATTCTGCAGAGAATGAAGGTCTATTTGGCCTTTATTTTTCATTTGTTTGAATCTGTGTTTTTGTTTCTTTTTCTCGCATCGTTTGTTGCTGCTGAGCAGACGGAACAGAAAGCTGAATTCCTTCCTCTTGGCCCGGTGAGTATAGAAAAGAAATAGTTAATTAAACCCAAAATTTAATTTTTTTTTTTTATTTTTTTTATTTTTATAAAATATTTAGGGGGCCACGACAGCTCTCAACGCAGCACTCACCGGGTCACCTGATTTTCAGATTCGTATTCACGTTCGTTTCAGGGAAACTTGAATTTCTTGAATTGAAACTTTTTGCAAAATTTGTTGAATTTCAGGCGCCGGTAGAGGATACCCAGGATACTTTGGCATCTTTGGGTGAGGAAAGTTTATATTTTATAAAATAAAATACAATAAAATACATAAAATATTTTAATTTATTATTTATTTTTTATTAATATATTATTTATAGACTCGCTTATTAAACTTGAGGAAGCAGAAAGGCGTATGGATGAGGAAGACTATGCCGCAGAGAAACAACGAATGCTGAATATGCATAAGAACAGAATACGGTGATAAAGAGTTTATTTAATATGTTTTTAATTTATAATTTAATTTATTTATTTAATTTGTTTAATTTTTCATTTTTTCCGCGCAACAGAGATCTCGTCTATGCTGCATTTGAACCTCTACACGCCATGGTAAGTATGGAAGCTGAATACAGCAGCAGCACAGCAGCAGCAGCAGCAGCAGCAGCAGCAGCTGTTGTATATTTTTTTTAATATTTTCTGTCTTTTTTTGGCAGATACCGAACCCTATAACAACACAAGTAGTTGAGGGTGCGTTTAAAAACGAACCAAATGCAGAAAAAAAAAGAAAAAAATATATATTTTTATTCATATACAGCTTACCAACGCACATCTGCTGCGGCAGCTACAGGGGCCTGATGCTGCAGCACCGCATGCGGGGCAACTGAACTTTGTTACTTTTTATTTGTTTATAATTAAGAGTTTTGTCTTTATATTTAAATATACGTATCTTCTTAATCTACTCCTAGCAACAGCTCTCCCCTTTGAGGGCACCCCCAGTCGCAGCGCAGCAGCAGCAGCAGCAGCAACAGCAGCAGCAGCAGCAGCAGCGGGAGCAGCAGCAGCAGCAGCAGCGGAACGACCCCTGCTTATAACTAAGCAGACTTTGTAGAGGTTGTTCTGCTGCTCTTTGTTGCTTTCTCGATGTAATTTATGCTGCTTTCTTCTTCTTTGTTAGCGTCTGTTTAGGGGGCTGCTGCTGCAGTATAAACCCCAGCCCCCCAAGCCTAGGGGAGACAGAATCCTTCTGCTGCTGCTGCTGCATCACTTGCTGCCTGTCTTTTTCATATAACATCTTTGGCTTCACTTTATTCGCACCACCGCGCGCCTCGGCCCCCGCAGCAGCAGCAGCAGCAGCAGCAGCAGCGCCAGCAAGGGAGCAGCAGCAGAGCCAAGGCAGCAGCAGCAAAACACCATCTTCAGCACTCAGGCGGGAACAGCAGCGCGGGAGCGGCGTCATCAGCACGTCATCAGCAGCAGCAGCAACAGCAGCAGCAACAGCAGCAGCAGCAGCAGCAGCAGCAGAATCTCTTGCAGTATCAAAAGATGCGGCGCGTGTTTGTGCAGCAGCGCAGCTGCATTGGATCAGTTTATGTTGGTATGTATATAACGATATGTGTTGCAGTGAGTTTTATATATAAAAATATAATATTTGTTTCAGGTGTATCTACAGCTCCGTCTGTAGATATAGAATGGCCAGGGCGTATAGTAGCAGTAGGTGACCTGCATGGTGATGCAGAGAACGCGTTGCTGCTGCTGCATGCATTGGGTGTAATAGATAAAAAAACAAAACAATGGAGAGGAGGAAATACACTACTCGTACAAACTGGAGATATAGTAGATAGAGGCCCAGACGGAAAACTTTTATATGATCTGTTTGCTGAGCTGCAGCAGCAAGCGCTGCAGCACGGCGGCAGAGTCGTACAGATACTCGGCAACCACGATGCTATGAACCTTTGTGGGGACTTTCG